TTAAGAGTCTCTTATGGTTTGCCTGCCTCTCTGTTTTTATTTTTCCTTCCCTTCCCCTATGTTCATCTGTTTTGTTTCTTAAATTCCACATATGTGTGAAACCATATATTTGTCTTTCTCTGAATGACATTTTTCATCTAGCATAATACTCTAGTTCCATCCATGTCATAGCAAAGGTCAAGATTTCATTCTTTCTGATGGGGGATTAATATTCTGTCATACATACACACCCCATGTCTTCTTTATCCGTTCATCAGTCGATGGACATTTGGGCTCTTTCTATAATTTGGCTATTGTTGATAGTACAGCTGTAAACAATGGGGTGCATGTGCCCCTTTGAATCAGCATTTTTGTATCCTTTGGATAAATACCTAGAAGTGCACTTGCTGGGTCATAGGATAGTTCTGTTTTTAACTTTTTGAGGAAACTCCATACTGTTTTCCAAAGTGACTGCGCCAGTTTGCATTCCTACCAACAGTGTAAAAGGGTTCCCCTTTCTCCACATCCTCACCAATGTCTGTTGTTTCCTGAGTTATTAATTTTAGCGATTATGACAGGTGTGAGGTGGTGTCTGATTGTGGTTTTGATTTCTTTTTCCGTGATGATGAGTGATGTTGAGTATCTTTTCACGAGTCTGTTAGCCATCTGGATGTCTTTCAGAAAGTGTCTATTCGTGTGTTCTGCCCATTTCTTAACTGGATTATTTGTTGGATGTTGAGTTTTTAAGTTCTTTACAGATTTTGGACACTAGCCCTTTATCTGTTATGTCATTTGCAAATATCTTCTCCCATTCCATTGGTTGCCCTTTAGTTTTGTTGATTGTTTCCTTCACTGTGCAGAAGATTTTTATCTTGATGAGGTCCCAATAGTTCATTTTTGCTTTTGTTTCCCATGCCTCTAGAGACATACCTAGTAAGAAGTAGGTGTTGCCAAAGTCAGAGAGGTTGCTGCCTGCTTTCTCCTCTAGAATTTTGATGGTTTCCTGTTTTACATTTAGGTCTTTCATCCATTTTGAATTTATTTTTGTGTACAGTGTAAGAAAATGGTCTAGTTTCATTTTTCTGCATGTTGCTGTCCAGTTTCCCCAACACCTTGAAGAGACTGTCTTTTTACATTGGATATATTTTTTTGAAGATTTTTTTAAATTTTATTTATTTGAGAGAGAAAGCACACATGCATGCTCATAGAGGGGTAGAGGGAGAAGGAGAGAAGCAGACTCCCCACTGAGCATGGAGCCTGAAGTGGGGCTCGATTCCACGACCTAGGAGATCATGACCTGGGCCAAAACCAAGAGTCAGATGCTCAACCGACTTTACTGCTTTGTTGAAGATTAGTTGGCCATAAGGTTGTGGGTCCTCCTTTTTTTTTTTTATTTTATTTTTCATCCTTATTTCTCTTATATTCTTTTAACTTCTAATAGTTTTTTTTTTTTTAAGATTTTATTTAATCATTAGAGAGAGAGTGCACATAAGCAGGGGGGAAGGCAGAGGAAGAGGGAGAAGCAGGCTCCCCGCGGAGCAGGGAGCCTGATGCGGGGCTCAATCCCAGGACCTGGAGACCATGACCTGAGCTGAAGGCAGACACTTAACCATCTGAGCCACCCAGGCACCCCTTCTAATTACTACTTTAAGCTATGTCTTATATAGGCTGTTATGCTTGCTCATTGAGTTTTTACTTTTGGTTGTAGAATTTTTCAGTTTTAGAGATTTCCCTTGGCTTCTTTTTATGGTTTCTTATTCTCACAAAATTCTCAACCTTGTTTTCTATTGTCTTGTACACAATAATGTAAGAAAATTTCTTTTAGAATCGTTGTTTAATAATTCTAATAGTGAGGCCCTTTTGTCTATTGTCTTTTTGCTTCTTGTAACTTTAATTCATGTCACCTTATCTTCCCAGGTACTTGAGTTTTAAAATTAAAAAAAAAATTTTTATTTTTGTCACATTTATTTGTAAAATTGTTTTTTAGAGCAAGTTGCAGCCTATTCTAATATCATTCATCTAAATTACCCTTGTTAGGAATAATAAGGGCAAACCTTTAAAGTCTGTATCCAAAATGAAGGGGGTGTTCACCAGGGCTTCTCCACTCCTTGCTGGTGTAATCTGTGTATCTTTGAATTTGAAGACTGTCAGCAGGCATTCAATCTCCCAGCCACCTCTCTGGAACTGGCAGATGCCTCTAGGGGAAGAGTGGTCCCAAATGCCAGTCTCATCTTTCTGCATCCACATCATCTCCTGTTCCCATTTCAGTAAATATTTATTCTTTTGTTAGTTTCCATTGTCTTCAGATTATTAAAACACATGTCCAGCTTTTCTTGTCCTAAGCAGGAGGCTTGATCTAAATTACCTTTTCCTCTAGTACTGGAAGTGAAGACTATCTTCAGATTTCTTGGTGTAAGAGATTGATAATACATTTCCCACGGTGTTTGAGGTAGTTGGGGTTTTTGTTTTTAGCTAAAAGCATCTTTATATAATTAGCATAAAAGATACATGTTTGTTCTTTGTAAACTTGAATATAGAATTGTGGAACCACTTTTGAAGGTCAAAGAAAGAATTAATGTTTTATGAGGCCTGTCTGTCTATGTTACTAGATATTTATTTGGAGGATACCATATTTTCCAAGATTATCATTGATAAATTGATTATTACTGGACTGGAGAACTGAATATATGTTCAAAACACTAAAAACAGATAGAAAGTTTATTCTGACCTTGGTAAGACTTGTGCAAATGGACAGATAGTTTTCTGTGATTCTGAAATATTCCTGGAGGAGAAAAGTCTGAAAATGACTATTGGCAGATGCAACCCAGGAGTTCATAACTTTGAGTCAAGAAGATCCCAGAGGGCAGTACACATATGTTTGCAATGGAACTAGAATTGGAGATGAGGCTGTGAAAATTAATAATGGGAAACCTCATTAAAATGGAGATGGGAGATTCAGCAAGGGGAGCTCTCACTCCCTACCACTCATAGTCAGTTGTAGACCCAACAGGAAGATATGTACTTGATTTTGCACCTGGTTGCTCCTTTATGATCCCAACTGGAGGAAGATACTTTTTTTTTTTAAGGTTAATAAGGTAATGGTGGTGGTGATTGAGAAATGGATATCCTGCAATTAGTCCTGAAAAGCACTTGTAGTAGATTTTAGTGCCAAAAGGGAAGGATTTAAATCATTTTAACCCTGTTTTCCTTAAATGTCCAGGTCTTTGTGAATTTTATTTGCAATGGGACTGAACTTCCATTTTAAAGTAGGAGTTAGAATATTTACTGTCAACTGGAATAAGAAAAAAAAATTATCATTTTATCTTAGAAATCTTTGTTTCATTGGTAGTGGGACTGAAGAATAGGTCTTGGTTTTTCTTATGTAGTTTAAGCTTTTAGCTAATTAAAATTAAAACCTGGGACACCTGGATGGCTCAGTCGGTTAAGTGTCTGCCTTCGGCTCAGCTCACGATCTGGGGTCTTGGGATCGAGTCCTGCATTGGGCTCCCTGCTTCATGGGGAGCCTGTTTCTCCCTCTGCCCCCTCTCTGTCTGTCTGTCGTGAATAAATAAATAAAATCTTAAAAAAAAAACCTTATAATACCTTTTGGTGGTATTATTACAAAGTATGAAGTAAGTTTATTGTATGTTTCTATCTTTTAAAAATTACTTGGATCAAAAAGCAGAGTCAAAGTTACATGCCAGGTTTTTGTTTTTGTTTTTTTTTTAAAATTTTATTTATTTATTTGAGAGAGAGAGAATGAGAGATAGAGAGCACGAGAGGGAAGAGGGTCAGAGGGAGAAGCAGACTCCCCGCCGAGCAGGGAGCCCGATGTGGGACTCGATCCCGGGACTCCAGGATCACGACCTGAGCCAAAGGCAGTCGCTTAACCAACTGAGCCACCCAGGCGCCCTTACGTGCCAGTTTTATGATCCAGTTAATTAATTCCCTGACAAATAACTTACTTTTGATAGGATAATGTTGTGGCAGCTGTTACAAACAGTGCATTGTTGCACATTTAACATGAGTAAGAAGTAAAGTTTTCTTGGAGGACTTTGTCCCTTCTATTAAAATGTGATTTGACAGGAAACCAAAGTAACTTCAATTTTAGTTTAAAAGTCTTCTTAGGTAATATGCAGACATCACATTAATTTATCAGAAATGGTATATTAAAAGAAACATTGAGTAATTTGATGGTTGGTTTTTATGTGCTAAAGATCTTGTAGTAGGAAAAGTATTTCATGATGACTCAGGACTGAGGGAGATGCTATTAGAAAAAAATACATATAATCTTCACAAAGATTCATGAAGCTAAAGGGGAGAGAATTATTTTGATGAAAACTTTTGTTTTTAATTATTTACAATAAGAATACTCTGTCATCATTTTTTTTAGTTCTAAATATAACAAACAGTTACTTTCATAATCCTGGATCAGTGCTTTTGGGGATAGCTGAAGTGATTTACTTTCCTGTTCTTAGTACATAACACATAGGTGATTAAGATTTTTGTGTTGACTGATTTCTCATCTGAGTCTGCAGCATGAGTACAGTTCACCTTGTGTCAGATAAAAGACCCTTTGTAGCATTAATCACATAGTTACTTGGTGAAGGTCATCTTTGTGAAGATTATAATTTTCTCCAACCATTTGTCAAGTTCTAAGTGGCTTTTCTCTGATTTCAGAGTATGGATTTTGTAGTAGGATCATTCTATGAAGTTTACCGTAGTAGCTTCAGGGAATATCCATGGTTTGTGAATCCGGGAGTACCTAAATTAGAAAAGTCAGTAATTCTAGTTAGATTAATAATTGAAGATGTGACGTTGATGGTCACAGAAACTTAGTGTGGAGTAAAGAAAATGTGTTAAGGTACGATTCAACTTTGTTCTTTTTGTTTTATGAACAATTAAAAAATCGGAAAATTTGGGTTTTGTTATAGAAATGATAGTAGAGTAACAAGGGATAAAAAGAATGTCACAATGAATGAGTTTAATTCATCACTAACTAAGTGCATTTCTCTGTGCAGGTATAATTTGGCATCCTGAGAGTCTGTCTTAGGAAGAAGGAAGTGGAAAATACCCTTGGAAAAAAGAAAGCTAAGACAAAAAGGAAGCCAGACTTACTTTTACATGGTCAACTGCTCACTTACCAATATGGATACTTTTCCCACTATTTTTCCTCCTGGTGGAGACAGCGGGCTGACAAATTCTCAATCTGAGTTCCAAAAAATGTTAATTGACGAAAGGTTACGATGTGCACATCATAAAACTAACTATCAGACTCTTAAAGCTGAACACACAAGGTAAATTGCTTAAATTTGGAGTTAAGGGGCTTTATTAAGAAAATTATTTTTGTCAACGTTTGCTCTGGAACATACAGTATAATTTTGTTAGTTTGCAGTATATACATTTAAAACTTCTTGGGGTGCCTGGGTGGCTCAGTTGTTAAGCCTCTGCCTTCTGCTTAGGTCATGATCCCAGGGTCCTGGGATTGGGCCCTGCATCTGGCTCCCTGCTCCGCCGGAAGCCTGCTTCTCCCTCTCCCGCTCCCCCTGCTTGTGTTTTCCTCTCTCACTGTGTCTCTCTCTGTCAAATAAATAAATAAAATCTTTAAAAAAAAAAAAAAAAACTTCTTTAATACAGTGAAAGTTTTGCTTTAAAATTACTTTATTCAAAACTAAACTAAACATGGTCCCAAGTGTGCTATGAATTTATAAGTCTTCTTTTGAAAGTAGCAAGACATATAAAATGTCTAGGTGGCTAAGTGTGTTTTTCCTTTCCCCCAAGTAAAATTGTATTAATAAACTATAGTGTTAATAATTAAACTCTATAAAGAGAAGAGGTTTATGAACTTAATGGAATATATGAAATTGGTCTTGTTCTGTAGTGTTGGTTGACTTCACATAAAGTAGTGCAATTAGGATAAAGCAAAGGATATCCTTAAAGTTGAATTTTTTCTTTTTTTAAAAATCAGATTGCAAGATGAGTACATAAAATCACAACATGAACTAAAGCGCCTGTTAAATGAAAAGCAGACTCACCAGGAAAAATTTCAGCTGCTGCTTGAAGAGCTAAGAGGGGAATTAGTAGAGAAAACTAAAGACTTAGAAGAAATGAAACTGCAGGTAAGAAAATATATTTCAGTTAGTACTATTGGGGAAAAAATTTCCTCTGCCCTTCAGGGTCCTTCTAAACTGGACTAAGAATCAAATTGGCATGAGATTAGATTAATAAGAGAAACCAAATTTAGTTTCAAAAGTATGCAGAATCCACACAAACATGAAATTCCAAAGATAGGCAGCAGTAGGCTTATATGACATCCTGAGCTAGGGAGACAGGTAAAATCTGGGGATACAAAGGGAAAGAAGATCAGTAGCAGGAGGGTGAGAGGAGATGTTTGGAAAACAAAGGTTGCTCTGTTAAGCAGATAAATTTCTTAGGTAAAAAGGAACCTCTGTTAATAGCTCTCTTCTTGGTATAGCCTCTCCTTTCCAATTAAATTTAGGCAGTTGAGAGGGAGGTAAAGAGCTTTTCCTAAATCTGCTGGGTTTTGATTGCTTTTAAATCAAAACAATCTTCATGCCAAAACAGCCCATCCTGGGGAGGCCTGCCTTTTGCAGCTATGATACAAAATTAGCCCGATGTTGCTAAATTTGGTGAATTCTGCCTACATTCTTAATGAGTATTTTGCTGTTGTCCACATGGTAGAATTTAATATTCTTTCATATATTCTGGAATATTAGCTACCATGTGGGATTTAGCCATGAAACTGTTGTTTCATGTAAATTTATATTATATTACCTGTTCTGATTTAAATATTTCACTATTCAGAGTAAGTGCGGGAAAGGCCGGTTTGAATTGATAAATATTGAGAGTTAAAAATATTTTTTTAAAGAAAGTTTTACTAATTTTAAGTATTATAACTGCAACTGAGCTAAAAAAGACTGATATTTATTAAAAATTTTTTTTATTACTGAAGTATAGTTGACAAGACTGATAGTTATTTTTAAGGGACTTCTTAAAAGACTATAAAAACAATATGTGCACTTATTTTATGTGTGCAGGGTACAGTAAATGGAGTTTCTAAAGCAGAGGATAGTACTACCATTTCATTTCTCATTTGCCTAGAAAGGAGACCAAAACTAAACTTACTGTAGCACCAGTCAAACTTATTATAAATTTCAAATTAGTAGATATTAGCAGTCATATTTTCCTGTGTTCATTTAATCTCTAAATGGTACCAGCTGTGTATTTCTTTTTAGTGCTTGGTACAAATGATAAGTATTTTTAATATTGGAGTCAGAAGTTGATAGGGGTAAAAAGCTACCTTTTCAGTCATCTAATATGGCATATCGCCCAATTCATGGATTCCTTTGACAGCAGTGTTAGAAGTTGGTTATTCAGTATCTTTTTGAAATCTTCCATTGTTGGGAACACCACCACTGAGCTTGGGTTGGAGCCTCTATTGTGGTATTTTATTCTTAGGTGTATTTAGGACATTTAAACAAAAACCTCACATATAGGAGTTGAATAGGCAAATGTAATTTAAGCCTATAGAATTGGTGGATTAATTTGTTTTGCAAAAATTGAGAGGCCATAGAAATGAGAATCTGTGAGCACTGAATCCAAGGAATTCTTCCAAGTCTTCTTCTGACACTGTAGATATAAACACTCTAGTCTTCTTTAGCTTATTGTTTGCATGTGCTTGGTACAAATAAGCATGTCTCCATGTTAGTTTGAAGAAACAGGAATTATATTAATATCAGATAAAATTTACTTCAAGACAAAAAGTGTCACTTAAGGTAAAAACGTCATTTTTATGACCAAAAAAAGGGTCAGTTCACCAGTGAGATGATGACCTTCAACAAACATCTGTTTTTATGCCTTAGTTTTGTCATGTGGTAAAGAGGATAAAAGTTGTTAACAGTGGTTTTTGTGAGGACTGATGAAATAACATGTATATTTTTAGTATAGTGTCTGACACATAGTAGATACTCATGAATGATGGCATTTATTCTCTTTGAATGCAGGCTCCATAAGGGCAGGAACTCTTTCAGTGTGTCTTCAGTGCTCAAGTAGATTTCTGTTTGTATTTATATATTTTATAATATGTTAGCAAATTTTTGTTGAATGAATGACATGAAGAAGTAGAATAAATGAATGACTCGGAATTGAGGTTCATATATAATACAGTGTTCTTTCTTGTCTCATAAGTACCTAAAGCTTCAGCATCTTAGAGTTGATCCTCTCATTGTTTCATATCTGTAGAGTTAACTTGTGTCCGCCAAAAAATATGTTGAACTTCTAATGCCCAGTACTTCAGAATGTGACCTTGTTTGAAAATAGTCTTTGCTGATGTAATTAGTTAAGATGAGGTCATACCGAAGGATGATGGGCCCTTAATCCAGTGTGACTGGTGTCCTTCTAAGAAGAGGAGAACAGACACAAAGACAGAAACACAGGGCGAAGGGCAGGGAGTGAGGTGGGGCGAATGTCCTGTCATGACAGAAGCAGAGATAGAAGGGCTGCAGCTGCCACGGAAGGACAGGGATCAACAGCACACCACCAGAAGCTAGGATGAGGCAAAGAAGGATCCTTCCCTTCAGGGAGTGTGGCCTTGCTGACAACTTGATTTCGGACTTCTAGTCTCCAGAGCTGTGAGACAATAAATTTCTGTTGTTTTAAGATAGCCAGTTTGTGATATTTTGTTGTCGTAGCTGTAGGAAACTAATACACCATTCAAAGCCAAATTCCTTTTTGGAACATTTGTGACACAGGGATCTTAATTATTCTCTGCCTCAGTGCTTTCAGTGGGAGAGAACTTAGTGAATGTTTAAAGTGATCCAGTTCCATTTATGGATTGGAGTATGTTAAGTATTTTCCCTGTCCTATTGAAATGAAATCATCCTCTCTGTAGCCTCTCTCTTGGTTCTTGTACTGTTCCTTGGATCTACACAAAATAACTTTAGACATTTCTCCATGTGATAACTTCCCAGATGTTTGCTGACAAATATATTTTGTCTGGTAAAGTTTCTGTTTTTCAAGATAAACATAAGTGGTTTCTCTATGATATTTATCTGGCAAAAACAAACTAAAGATCTATATTATGTACGCATGTTGAAGCTAAATTTAGCTCTTTGCTTTATGGATGTCAGCAATTTGTATGAGTTGAATAAAATTAAGTAAATTCAACAAAGTAGAAGCAATAAGAAATATGTTAGTAAATGTTTATGAAAGATGATTATTTTCAGGATATACATGTATTATCTTGTCTACAAAATGCGTTTTCTGAGCTAAGATTTAATATCCCTTTGGCTTTTATAGAAAAATGATATAAAAGATAATCAATTAAAGAATATTTCTGTGTCACTTGTGTAGTTGTAGTGAATGGTAATAATAGTAGTGCCTAACTTATATGCTGATTGTAAAGATGAAATGAGTTAGTGCATAGAAAGTGTTAGTACAATGCTTTGATATAGAAAGTGGATAGAACATGTTAGCTGTTGTTATAGTGTTATTATGTACCATGTTATGAGTTATTTGATAATTCTGTTACAAATTTTAAAAGTTACTTTACCAAAAATTTATATGCTTTCTTTGTGCCAGGCAATGGAAACTATATAACCCAGTATGTTTCCCGTTTTAGTTGGATGCTAGGAAGCTCAGAGCTAAATTTATTATTCAGTTTGTCATTATTTTTTTAGGAATCTCTGGCACAGCAGTATCTGCCTTCTTAAATTAAAACATTCTTTGAAAAATAGTGGTCTATTTTATATTATTAACGTGACAAGTGGTGTAATATAGATTTAATATAGGTAATGACACACGGACTGTTGTATGATAAAGCATTCTTGTTTCTTTTGAGACAAGTGGTGGCAGTATTCCATTAGAAGTCTAAGATGCAGCATACTTTTCTCCTAAAATGGCATGGGGAAAATCCTCTAATTCTGTGTCTTTGGTGTATGTGTGCTTTGGCAGGGTTGGGAGGGAAGATAGATTTTTCTTATGTGTGTGTGCTTGTTTTTTATAAGATTCTTAGGAGATAACAAAAAGATCTTGTTGAGATTTTTTTTTTTAATCAGAGACCTTATAGATTACAAGACTCTTGTGTAGTTACCAACTTCAGTGTTCTTTTCTCCTTTGTGTGGATCCATATTTCCATTGGTACCATTTTCCTACTGTCTTAAGAACTTTCTTTAACGTTTGTAAGTAAGATCTATGAGAAATTTTTTCAGCTCTTATATATCTAAAAATAATTGATTTTAAAGATCGTTTTGCTAAGTATTGATTTCTAAGTTGACTATTTTCCCCCCTAGTACTTTAAAGATGTTGCTCTTCTGTCCTCACTTATGTTGTTTCACATAAGAAATTTGCTGTCATCTTTATCTTTGTTCTGTGTATACAGTGAGTCTTTTCTTCATGGCTGCCCTTAAGATTTTCTCTTTATTGCTGATTTTGAGCCATTTGATTGATACGACTTTGTACTTCATATTTACAGTGCTTAGGGTTTATTGAGCTTCTTGGCTCTGTGGGTTTACAGTTTTCATCACCTTTAGAAAATTTTTGTACGTGACTTCTGAAAATATTTTTTTCTGCCTCCTCTTTGATCTCCTTTGGGGATTCCATTATTAGGCCACTTAAACTTTTCCCATAACTCACTGATGCTCAGTTTATTTATTTTCAATCTTTTTTGTCTCCTTGTTGCATTTTGGGTAGATTCTGTTGTCCTGTCTTCAAGTTCACTGATCTTTTTTCTTCTGCAGTATCTCATCTTCCATTAATCCCATATAGTATATATTTTTCATCTCAGAAATTGTAGTTTTTACACTGAAGTCCAATTTAGGTCTTTTTAATAACTTCCTTATATCTACTTAACATGTTCAATCTTTTCTCTGGCTTTTTGAATATACGGAATTCAGTTACAATAACTATTTTAATGTCTTTGCTAATTCTAACATCTGTATCACTTCTGGGTTGGTTTTGGTTGATTGATTTTCTTGTTTATTGTGGGTAGTATTTTCCTGCTTTGCATGCCTGATAAATTTTTATTGGATGCTAGACATTGTAAATTTTATATTGAGTGCTAGATATTTTTGTATTCTGATATTCTTGAGCTTTGTTCAGGGACAGTTACTTGGAAACAGTTTCATCTTTTTGGGTCTTGCTTTTAAAGATTTGTTAAGTGAGAGCAGATTAATATTTAGTGCTCACTACTTGCCACTGCTGAGAACCTTCTGAGTACTCATTTCTCAATGAAATGAAGGTTTTCAGTCTGGCTTTTGGAAAAAGGAACTATTCATAGCTCTGTGTGAGCTCAGATTACTCATCCATCTGATTCATTCTTTTCCTGGCCTTAATTAAATTTTTCCTTACATACATGTGCTGATCGGGATACTCTTCTGAATGAGCCTTTTGCAGATCTTCATAATTTTCGCTGCCACCCTCTTTTCTGCTACCCTGCTTGTGACTCTAGCCACACTGCTCTCCCTGGATTTTTGTTCCATTTGCTTTTAAGTCAGAGAGTCCATCAGATTCTGCCTGGATATCCCTTCCTGTGCATGGCCTGGAAGCATTCTCAAAGCTTACTTTCTTTGTTGTTTGTCTCTCAGGGATCTTTGTTGCTTAATTATACCCACTATCTTGAAAACGTTTGATTTTTGTTTATTCTTTTATTTGTTTTAGGCAGGAGAATAAATCTGATCTCTATTATGCCATCTGTTGGAGGTGGAAGCACTTTTATTTCTAATTGATACTTGTTTGAGATTTCTGTAATTAAAGGTTAAAGTAGAAAGGGTGGTTGTGTTGCATCCTCACATACCCATCAATACTTGTTTTATCTTCTGACATCCCTGCTCTGTCTTTCAACCCTTCTGGATTATTTTGAAGCAAATCATCTCAACTCTAGTATTTTAGTATATATCTCTATTATATACCAAGGTAATCTCTCCTTTATTTTTTTTTTAAGATTTTTTATTTATTTATTTGAGAGAGAGAGAATGAGAGAGAGCGAGCACATGAGATGGGGGGAGGGTCAGAGGGAGAAGCAGGCTCCCTGCCAAGCAGGGAGCCCGACGCGGGACTTGACCCAGGGACTCCAGGATCATGACCTGAGCCGAAGGCAGTTGCCCAACCAACTGAGCCACCCAGGTGCCCGGTAATCTCTCCTTTAAAAGCATAGCCACAATACCATTATCATACCTAAAAGTACTTATTCCCTAATGTCTTTTAATATTGCATCTTTGTTCACATTTCCCTAATTTTCCCACAGTTTTGCTTATTTTTTAAAAAAGATTTTATTTATTCAAGAGAGAGCATGAGCGAGAGAGTGAGAGAGAGCATGAGCAGAGGAGAGGGGCAGAGGGAGAAGCAGACTCCCCGCTGAGCAGGGAGCCCCACGTGGGGCTCTATCCCAGGATCCCAGGATCATGCCCTGAGCCAAAGGCAGACACTTAACCAACTGAGCCACCCAGGTGCCCCCAGTTTTGCTTATTTTTAAAGTTGTTTTGTTTGAAACAGGATCTAAATAAGGTTTATCTATTATTCTTTACCCTTCATTACCACCCCTTCTCACTTTGGACTCTTGATACTATCACCCAGACTCTTGACATCATAAACCAGATTATAATAAGAGCTTTCTATGTGATTTCCCAGCTCCATCCACTGCCTCCCCCATTCCTGCCCTAGTCACCAATTTTCTCCCACCAAAGGTTTTGATCCATCTTGCTTCTTCCTAAAATATAGATATGGTGATGCCATTCTTAAGCTTGAATACCTTTAGTGAATAAGCAAAGTACAGAAAAATGTGATAGTATGCCTTTCTTTACGTAAAAGTTAAAAAGTGGTGTATATGCTTATATATTTGTATGTTGTTTCAAGAAGGATATATAAGAGGTTAGCCATGATTTCCTCCTAAGAGGGAAACTGGATAACTGAAGGAAGAAGACTTAGTCTTTTAATACTTTTTTTGTTTGAATTATGTATGTAATTATATTTATTCATTTTAAGTAAAAAAAAATAAGTAACTACTGTTGAATACTGAATAAATTATAAGAGTCTGAATCTGATATTTAGGAATCTTCTACTTGTAGCTCGCATCTCTTTCCCTTTTGTTCCCAGCCAGGATGTAGCTCTCATAAGTGGCATTTGGAAATGTTTCAGCATGGCCTTGATTGTCACAATATTTAGAGGGCATCAATACACAAGGATCCAGGATTCTAAATTGTCTGTAGTGCTTAGTGTGCGGTTCAATCCAAAATGCCTTTAGCTTACCTTTGAGGAGCATTTTTTTTTCCCCCAGGGAATTTAAAATGTTATCCATTCTTAAGTTTCTGGTTCTGTTTAAGCTTTAGTTTTCCCATACGTTTGATGTGCCACTATTTCTATACTTAATATTTTTTCTGTTGGTCTTTACCTGTCTGATAAGCCTATATTGGTTATTTTTATAGTTATTTGTATGTATTTTATTTTTCATATGAGAGTTTGAACTTCTTATGGGGCAAGAAATTCTTCCTGTGAGTTTTTGTGATCTTTACAAAGTTAGACTGTGTATGCTTCAGTTTCTGTAAAAAAAAAAGGGGGGGGGATGATAATATAGCTACATTGAGGATCATTGCAGGGATTAAATAAGTTAGTTAATGCATGGAAGATATTTATGTTATATAGATTATATAGTATGTTGCAGAATGGTTTGTATGTAGTAAGTATTCATTCAGTGAAGTTTTTGGATTGTTTGGAGTATTGATGAATAAATGAATTGAATTAAACTGAATATTACTCTTCATTTTCAGAGGTTAATGTAAGTACATACTAGGTTTTTTGTTTTTTTGTTTTTTGTTTTTTTTTATTTGACAGAAAGAGACACAGCGAGAGAGGGAACATAAGCAGGGGGAGTGGGAGAGGGAGAAGCAGGCTTCCCGCCAAGCAGGGAGCCCAATGCGGGTCTCGATCCCAGGATCCTGGGATCACGACCTGAGCCAAAGGCAGACGCCCAATGACTGAGCTAGCCAGGCGCCCCTTCCATACTAGGTTTTTGTTTGTTTGTAATTTTTTTGTTTGTAATTGAGTTATCCTATGTGCCCAGGCAGTGGTGTGAGGTGTTGGGAACACATCATGGTGAATAAAGACTGTGTTTGCCCTTCAGGAGCTTACATAAATACTTAAATCATTTTTTGAAATATGAGTTCTATAAGAGACCATAACAGGGAGGAGCCATGTTTTGGTGCTCAGAGTAAAAGTCAGCCTTTTCTGATTGAAAATAAGTCTGAATAATTCTCTTTGGTATACCAGATTATTACACCTTTGTTTTGATTGCTTTAGGAGATAGACTGTTAGCCATTATATAAAACATGGTAACCTTAGCTGCCAACACAGTTATTCCTAACAGTCATAATAATAATAATAATCAGTTACTATCTTTATCTCATGTTAATGGAATTTTTGACATCTCTGAGAGCCTGAAATTGAGATCTTCAAGTATTGTTTCAAATGATAGTTCTATTTATATAGTGATTACTGTAGAATTAGGTATATTGTGAAATTTCTATGAATTGGATTTTATTGTTATAATTAAGCATTGCAATTTGGTGTATTCTTGATTTTAGTATTTGTGATTTTATACTTAGAATGCTTTTTTTCTCTACATACTAGGTATTAACTCCACAAAAGTTGGAATTGTTACAAGCCCAAATACAACAAGAATTAGAAGCTCCAATGAGAGAACGTTTTAGGAATCTGGATGAAGTAAGTAATTTATATAGAAGAAACTGTGCATTTATCTTTATATGCCTGATCAAAAGCCACGTTCCCTTATTCAGAAACCCTGCAGTAGCTCCCCTTCTAACTCAAGGGGCTTTTAGGACTGCAAAAGATCAGGTCCCATTATCTCTCTGACTTCCTTTCCCCCATCCATATCAAGGGGCTTTTAGGACTGCAAAAGATCAGGTCCCATTATCTCTCTGACTTCCTTTCCCCCATCCATATTGGCCTCTTTGATGTTTCTTTGGCACTCCAGAAATGAAACAGATCAAGAATCTTTGCTATAGCTGTTACTTCTGTCATGAACAGTATCCTTCCAGGTATCTCTTAGCCAACTTCCTCATTTCTCTTTTTTTTTAAGATTTTAAAAATTATTTATTTGAGAGAGAGCACACGCATGTGAGAGAGCATGAGCAGGGGGTGGAGGGCAGAGGGAGAGGGTGAAGCAGGCTCCCCGCTGAGCAGGGAGCCCAACTTGGCGCTCTATCCCAGGATCCTGGGATCATGACCTGAGCTGAAGTCAGACGCTTAAGCAACTGGGCCACCCAGGCACCCCTTTCTCATCTCTTTTAAGTCTTTGCTGAAAGACTTTGCTCTCAATGAGGCCTACTTTGTGACCAACCTGTATCTCCATTTAATATTGCTTCCTGCCTTTCCCATCACTTTTTTTTTTAAATTTTTTATTGTTATGTTAATTACATTACATCATTAGTTTTTGATGTAGTGTTCCACCATCACTTCTTAGTGATGGTGGAACTTTTTATTTTTCTCTAGTACTTACCCCCTAATATTCTGTACATTTATTGTGCTTATTATTTTCTTTATTACCATCTCTAGAATGTAAGTTGCATGAGAGGAGGAACCTTTATCTGTTTGGTTCACTGTATATTCTAAGTTCCTAGCATGCAATAGGTGCTTAGTTAGTATTTGTGGAATGAAAGAGTATATTTCATGCAACCTCAGAAAAATTAAAATTTGTTATGGTTTTCCTTCAGACTGAAATGTTTCCTTCCTCTTATGAAATTTCATGTTGGTATAATATTAAATGTTTAATAAATGGAATAGGAAAAGACGACATATATTAAGTACTATGCCAGACAATTTATATATGTAACCTTATTTAATGAATAGGCTGGGCCTTATACATAACACATGAATATTGTCCCCTTCAAAATGGACCACTTTGGAAAGCTGTAGTCTAGTGATGCTGCCATTGCACAAAATAGTTGTAGAATCCACTTTTATAAATGGCTTATTGGCTTGGTAAAGTCGTCTTTTGAATATCCTCCTGGTGGGTAACCAAAACCTTATGGTTGGGGGTAGATTTAATTTTTGGATTTAAACAAAGCCACTTAGACCTAAGGTTAAGTGATCAAGTTAAGTAAAAGTTTTTTTGTTTTTTTTTTGTTTTTTTGTTTTTTTTTAGTAAAATCATGAAACCCATTTTCTTGGTTTGTAAACTGGCTTGGAGAAATCTTTCAACTGAAGAGTTACAGTGAGCTGAATATTTTAGAAGGTGTTCTTATTACTTAATTTCCTGACGAATGTTGAAATAGCATCTCCTTCATCTTCTCTATTGCCTAAGTTCTTACTGATTTTAGAATGCCAACAACTTTTGTAGTGTTAGTAAGCAGAATTGGAACATACCAGAGATTCGCATGTGTTCTGGTTAGTCAGGAAAGTTGGTGCTACATATATTCTTTAGACTGGTGTGTTGAACTGTCATTGTCATACTTGATTGAACCTTAAGTTACTGTACTAAATATTCAAATAATATTTTATCTACTTAGAATTCATCCTTTTAGGAGGCTATTTTATATTTTACTATAGAGTTAATTTTTAAAATTTAATTTTGAAAGGTGTACTACATTATTAAATATTATTCTATTAGGCCCACAGGTCAAAACTTTTGATGTGCTATTTGTCTTTATTATTGTGAGAATCAGTGAGTAAATAAGGTAAATTGAATGGTAATTTGCTTTATTGGCACCTTCTCAAGACTGTACTGGTTCTGTATGTAGGATACTTGCCATAAGATTTTTCCAGGGTTTAGGGGCACCTGGGTGGCTCAGATGGTTTAAGCGTCTGCCTTCGGCTCAGGTCATGATCCCAGAGTCCTGGGATTGAGCCCCGCATCGGGCTCCCTGCTCAGCGGGAGGCCTATTTCTCTCTCTCACTGTGTCTCTCTCTGTCAAATAAATAAATAAAAATCCTTAAAAAAAAAAAAAGAATTTTCCAGGGTTTATTTATATTTCTGTTAAGCTTATTTTTTGCTTTTTAGAATGGCTTTCAACATAATGCACTTTAAAATTATATTTGCAAAAGTGATTTTTGGAGTGAGTACAAATTTCATTTATAAACGTGTCATAAATTACAGTCTCCTTTTAATTTAGGAAGTGGAAAAGTATAGAACTGAATATAATAAGCTTCGCTATGAACATACATTTCTCAAATCAGAATTTGAACACCAGAAAGAAGAATTTGCACGTACTTTAGAAGAAGAAAAAATAAAATATGAATCAGAGGTGAGTGATTATACTAGTTTAGTCATTAGCCTTCTAGTCTGTAAAATTTTATGATTTTTTCTAAATTCTAAGTTAGAATTGATTGCATAATTAAGTTTCATTCATTAATGGTAAAGTATTTGGCATGATATTCATCTGTTCTACAGTAACATTGTTTTTTGTGAACATTCTTTGTGGCTGTTAGCTTTTCCTCTTTTGTTCCTCCTTTATTTTGCCCCAGTCAATGGAAATAGTCTCTTTTCTTTCATAGCCAGAGAGACAGACTTCTTTTTACAAATATAGTTTGTTTATATCACTTTTTTATGTAGAACTGTCCCCCTCTACTTTTTGGAACCAAACCACGTCCAGAAGAGCTCTGGCTATCAGCCCATGTACCTTGTTTCTACTGACAGAAATAAGGGGTTTATACTTTAGGGCATGCCCATCACATTCAAGAAGTGTACTTTGTTCTTTCTGACATCTACAACTGCAGAATTTTCTCTCTGCTGCCTACAGCATGTTCTCCTACTCTATCTCTACTGCTTAGGCAGCCTTTCTACTCATTTTATGTTTCATCTCCTAATTTTGCCAAAATGAAATTTGTGTTTATCATTCTTTATGGACTTATATGTGATTTTTCAGGATAAAAAGAAATATCAGTTTTGTCCTGCTATATTCAAATAAGAAATCTAACACCAGTGGAATTTGTAAACAACAACAACAAAAAACTTGGTATCTGTAGTTATGTGAAATATTCTTTGTACAAACACATCTGCATTATGTATTTATTGCATCATCCTTATTTGGAATTAAGAGTTAGAATACACTCACCTTCCTTTACCAATTACTAATTGGATCAAACTGATCTATTCTTTTTATTATTTTTTAACTTTAAATTCAATTAGCCAACATATAGAACATTATTAGTTTCAGATGTATAGTATTTCATCAGTTGCATGTAACACAGTGCTCATCACATCACATGCCCTCCTTAATGCCCATCACCTAATTACCCTATCCACCCCCCCTCCCCTCCAGCAACCCTCAATTTCTTTCCTATAGTTAAGAGTCTTTCATGGTTTGTCTCCCTCTCTGATTTCTTCCCATTCCGTTTTTCCCTCCCTTCCCCTATGATCCTCTGTGCTGTTTCTTATATTCCTCATATGAGTGAAACCATATGATAATTGTCTTTCTCTGGTTGACTTATTTCACTCAGCATAGTACCCTCCAGTTCCATCCACTTTGGTGTAAATGGTAAGATTTCATCCTTTCCGATGGCTGAGTAATAATTTCATTATATATTATCCATTCATCTGTTGGTGGACATCTCCACTCTTTCCATAGTTTGGCTATTGTGGACATTGATGCTATAAACATTGGGGTGCACATACCCCTTTGGATCACTACATTTGTATCTTTGGGGTAAATACCTAGTAGTGCAATTGCTGGGTCATAGGGTAGCTCTATTTTAAACTTTTTGAGGAACCTCCATACTGTTTTCCAGAGTGGCTGTACAAGCCTGCATTCCCACCAACAGTGTAGGAGGGTTCCCCTTTCTCCACATCCCCGCCAATATCTGTCATTTCCTGACTTGTTCATTTTAGCCATTCTGACGGGTGTCAGGTGGTATCTCATTGTAATTTTGATTTGTATTTCCCTGATGATGAGTGATGTTGAGCATCTTTTCATGTGTCTGTTGGCCATTTGTATGTCTTCTTTGGAGAAATGTCTGTTCATGTCTTCTGCCCGTTTCTTGACTGGATTATTTGTTTTTTGGGTGTTGAGTTGGATAAGTTCTTTATAGATCTTGGATACTAGCCCTTTATCTCATATGTCATTTGCAAATATCTTCTCCCATTCCGTAGGTTGCCTTTTAGTTTTGTTGACTGTTTCCTTTACTGTGCAAAAGCTTTTTATCTTGATGAAGTCCCAATAGTTCATTTTTGCCCTTGCTTCCCTAATGCCTCTGGAGACGCGTCTAACAAGAAGTTGCTGCAGCCAAGGTCGAAGAGCTTGCTGCCTGTGTTCTTCTCTAGGATTTTGATGGATTCCTGTCTCACATTTAGGTCTTTCATCCATTCTGAGTCTATATTTGTGTGTGGTGTAAGGAAATGGTCCAGTTTCATTCTTTTGCATGTGGCTGTCCAATTTTCCCGACACCATTTGTTGAAGAGACTGTCTTTTTTCCATTGGATATTCTTTCCTGCTTCGTTGAAGATTAGTTGACCATAGAGTGGAGGGTCCATTTCTGGATTCTCTATTCTGTTCCATTGATCTATGTGTCTGTTTTTGTGCCAGTACCATACTGTCTTGCTGATGACAGCTTTGTAATAGAGTTTGAAGTCCGGCATTGTGATGCCACCAGGTTTGGTTTTCTTTTTCAACATTCCTCTGGCTATTTGGGGTCTTTTCTGGTTCCATACAAATTTTAGGAGTATTTGTTCCAGCTTTGTGAAATATGACGATGGTATTTTGATAGGGATTGCATTCAATGTGTAGATTGCTCTGTGTAGCATAGATTTTTAACAATATTTATTTTTAATTACTGAGCAAACTGCTTCATGATTGTTTGATAAGTAAGAAGCTATATGAACATTGGAACATTTGAGTCCATTGGTAATACAGTACTAGAAAACTATAAATATTTATAATAGCCTTTTTTATTAAAAACTTCTGAGCGGCTCTATTCACATATGATCTCTTGTTATAATAGTCACTGCAATGAAGCAGGACTGTATTATTTTATCCATTTTAAAATGAGGACACTTGAAGCATAAGGTAAGCAACTTCCCCAAAGTCTCACAAAAAGTCAGCAGCCAAGTTTACTATAGAACTCAGGTGCCCCAACTACCAGCCCAAAGTTTTTAGTTTGGTGTGGCAATTTCAAATCATTGGTAATTTCAATTAGCCATCCAAAAACTAATTTTGTTCAAGAGATCTGTCAATTTATACTAATGATGATGAAAGGTTTTGAGTCTATAATCATGACAGACTTAAAGGAATTACATTTAAAAATCTTCTTGTGGAAAATAGGAATGAAAAAGATTTCCAGCCTAAAAGTTGGTTTAGTGTATTAAAGAGTAACCAACCACGGAGGTTAAGGATACTGGTGCTTTAGTTTATATTTTGCGTTTAAAACCGAATGTTGATGTTTATCTGGTAATGATTATTTGTATTCTCTAGTTTCTTAGTTTTATTGTTTATCTAAAGAATGAAACTTGCATCTGAAATCTGATGACTAATCTATTTTTCACCCATGAAAGGCCAAATAATATTAAAATTTTTAAGGGCTTACTGGCGTCATTAGTTTTCCTAATTTAAATGTCTTATGGAGAAATCTGAAGATAAACAGTTAGCTAAGAAGCCATAATTTGTAGAGGCTAGAAAAATAAAACTTTCTGATAAGACCAAAGTTCTTTTCTTTCTACTTCCTGATTGATTATGCAGGAACAGTATTAATTAGTGGATAATCGGGTATTTGTTCTTTCATTCCATCAGTTAATCTTAGTGATATGATTGTGGATCATGAAACAGCATTGAAACTTCAAAGAAAAGCCTACTATTGCCCTCTGCCAATTTTACAATTTAAACTGGTATAAAATATATTAGTTTGTACTAAAAATAATTGGCTTTTCTTGCATTAAGGATTCACACAATACTTGTGCATTTTCACTTTTTTTTTTAAAGATTTTATTTATTTATTAGAGAAACACAGAGAGGGAACACAAGCAGGGGGAGTGGGAGAGGGAGAAGCAGGCTCCCCTGCCGAGCAGGGAGCCCGATGTGGGGCTCTATCCCAGGACCCTGGGATCGTGACCTGAGCCGAAGGCAGACGCTTAACGACTGAGCCACCCAGGCGCCCCACATTTTCACTTCTACAGATAAAAGAAGTAACTGAATATTCTTTACTGTGTTCTTAGGTGAATGCTTCAGGAAGATTTTGTTAGTGTTTTCATGAGAAGCACTTTAGTGATTCACATTTTCTTCATGATACTCTGAATTAAAAGGAATATATGAAAGTAGATGTCTTTATCTTATAAGTAAGATAATGTCATGATTTCTCAATGCATTCGGCTATAAGAACATATTAAGTCTGGGACTTCAGATGAAATTCTGAAGTTGTATGTATAGGCATTATTCAAAGTGGTACTATTGTGTTTTACTATGTTATTTGGTGTCTAATTTTATATTCTGCAAATAGTAATGAACAATACAAAGAGTTACAGGTTATTATACTGGTCGACTGAATGAGTGCAAGAAGCAGGAATAATTCAGTGGGGAAGTATGTAGATTTTGAGAGGGGGCAGTGAGTACTGCATCATATGAAAAACTTTAGAATGACAGTTATTATAATGACAAGTCCCTGAGATTATTCCGTCTGGCTTTCCAAACTGAGCTGTACCTTGGGTTTTTTTTTTTTTTTTCTTAAGATTTCATTTATTAGAGAGAGAATGAGTGGAGGGAGGGGCAGAGGGAGAAGCAGATTCCCCGACTCCCCAATGGAGCAGGGAGCCCAACTCAGGATTCGATCCCAGGACCCTGGGATCATGACCTGAGCCGAAGGCAGACGCTTAACCAGCTGAGCTACACAAGTGCCCTTTTTATTTATTTATTTGAGAGAGAGAGAGCAAGCGAGAGAGAGAGAGGGCGAGCAAGCACGTGCGCACGATCCGGGTGAGAGTCTGAGAGAAAAGCAGACCCCCTGCTGACACTCAATTGACTGAGCCACCCAGGTACCCCTGTACCTTGGTTTTTATGGGGCTGGTGAGAAGCCAGAATTCCTGTGGCAGAAAGGAGAACTTTTCTGGGTTCTTGTTACCACATGCTATTTTTTCTTACAACACTGTTAGCACAAAACTGATAATCGTTTTCAAGTTTTGGTCTTTATTCTGACACACATATCAGTAGACATCATGAAACCTCTTAAAACACATCCTAATTTTGTCCTGGTATGTTCTGAAGCTCTAGGTGGCCTATAAGGCTCCTTTATCTAAAATATTCCAAGTTCTCTGACTAGCACC